CGGTTGTTCCATGACCGGTTCTAACTGTTGCTTCTTGGCCCGCATACAGATTTCTCTGAATCGGGCCCTACCTCACTTAGGTTCCAAGCCTGGCAAAATTGGCCAGGGTTGCCACTTGCAGACACCCAAGATTCTGGTGCTAGTGAGTAAAAGGTTAAATAATTGAGGGGACACATATTTAAATGCAAGATTGGTCAGTAATAAGGCCTCCCTCATCTAATCATCAATGAGAGGGCTGACCTGACATTTATTACCGAGACCTGGCTGGGACTGGAATGGGGGGGTGGCCCTTTTGGAGGTATGCCCAGCTGGGTTCTGGGTATGGCATCAGCCGAGACTCCGGGGCAGGAGTAGAGGTGTGGCGATTGTCATCCAGGAGTCCCTTGTGGCTTTCAGGGGTGCTGTTCCATCACTAAGCGATGCAGTTATAAAGCACAATGTCACATGATCACCTCGCTTAGCGATGGCAGTCCCCATCAGCGAGGATCGTGAGTTGTTAAGCAAGGACCTCCTCACAACTTCTTGATCGCTTCCAACAAAGAAAGTCAGCGGGGAAGCCAGCAGGAAGTTGTAAATCCCAGGTGGCTCACAAGCTGCTCGGGTCCACAAGTGGCTGCTGTAGCGTGAGCAGGGCCAGGGTGGCTGCTGCTGGGTGGGGGAGGGCTCCTCAGGACAAAAAGCCACTCATTGACTTTACTTGTGGGAAGCTGGCAGGGAAGGTCGCAAATGACAATCACATGACCGTGGGATGCTGCAACTGTTGTAAGTATGAGCTGGTTGCCAAGTGCCTGGATCATGACCATGTGACCGCAGGAGTGTTGGGATGGCCGGAACTTCAAGGAGTGGTCGTTAATCAAGGACTGCCTAGAGCAACAGATCATTATAAATTGCCATCTGGGATAAACTCATAAAATGAGAATCCATCTTAGGGCTGAAAAGAGCGTGAATTCTTAGCTTTGTTGGGGATGAGAATTCTGTGCTTCTGGTGGCCTCTGGGAGAGGCTGTTTTGGCAGGGGCCACGGAGCATGGGAGTGGGTGAAAGCTTAAGCTCATCTTTGCTTCCTTCCTGCTAGAGAGAGCATACAGACACCCTGCGCCACTTGAATTTGATGCTGGCGTTCACGGAATGTGTGCTGGACCTGACTGCTGTTCGGAGCGGGAACCCAGAACTCTGCAGCAGCTCTGCCGTGTCTCTCTATCAGATCCAGGAGAGTGTCGTCGTGGATCAGATCAGCCAGCTGAGCAAAGACTGGGGGTAGGTATCCATCAAGCACCTGGCCTTTGTGGAGTCTCTTCCTGCCCAGGGCCGTGCACGTTCAAACTTCCTAACACTGGCAAACCATTTTAACACTCCCCAGAAGATTCGTGCCTTTGTAGAGGAAAGGTACAAATATGGTGAATACACTGAGTTGATGCAGGCCTGCCTGGCGGGTTGCCCTGGAGATGCACCCAAAACCAGGTGGGGCTGGCTCCTATCCTGACTTTTGCGATTATTTTTTTGTTCTGGATGCTGTTGTGGATTTAGCCGATCGTTACTGTGTTTAACAGGCCCAGTTGCTGACTCAGCCTATGAATTATAAAAGGGGAGTAGGGTCCAAGAGTCTAGTGCAGTGTTTTTCAACCTCAGCACCACCTTTATAATTAGGGTTGTAAAGATTCTCCTCCACCATCTCCCCTTCTCTCTACGC